TGTTTACCCTTATTTAAAAAAAAAAAAAAATACCCAGGATGCAAGCTTTCACTGATGATGAACTTCTTGTCCTGGCTGAAACACCTGACACTAGCTTCTACATGGGCATGAACCATCATCCTGTCAATCTCACCCCCAAAACAATGCTCTCATTGAGCAAGAAGCAGTCTAAGAGATTCACCACCCCTTCATAACAACTAAAAGACAGGAATGATAGGTTCTGGCCCACGTACAAACTGCTAAGTTACCATGGCCCTGATTCAACATGGCTAACTCTTCCAAATCAACAGCTTATCTTCCTAATGACCACTTCCTCCTTCTTCCCCACTCCAGCCCTGAATACAACTTTTTACTTTTCCGATGCACACAAGGGAGCCTTCAATTAGCTCCTTGTGTGTCACTGAGCCTGCCCCTCAAAGTGCCCCTAGCAAAAGTCCAGAAAGTCTCATCCTCCCTGTCTCAGGTCAGAGGATCTGCCCATCTCTTGCCTTTGGTCCTCTCCATGTCTTCAGAGTTAATAAAGACCCCCCCCCATTAAAAAAAAAAGCCATCCTTGTCAAGTTGGGCAAAAGTGAGTGATACACTGCTAAAAAGAGTATACACAGATGTTTGGCCTCACAATAAAGATAATATCTCTCAAGTACACCAATTCAGTGGCAAGCAATGAAAAATATTTTTATGATAAAAATGACACATTCCAAATATAAAATACCTATATTTTTTTAGGATAGAAAAGTGTCAAGTTTGCAAGATTGGTTGACTGTGCTCCTAAGTCCTGTGGGATGGGGATAACCTTCACTTCATTCTTTTAAATTTTTATATATTTATTTATTTATTTATTTTGTGTGTGTGTGGCCAGCTCAGCCCACCAGGGGGCGGGGCTGACTGACATGTGGTGCTGGGGGATTGAACCGCCATCAGTGTGCTTCGCTTAGCTTAGCTTGTTCTAAATAGGTGCTTTAGACCACTGAGCCATCTCGCCAGCCCCTTCACTTCATTCTTACTGTTAGAACTTTATAGAAAGGTACACAACTCATCAAGGTAGAATTATTTTGGGTACTACTAGTACCATAAATAGACTAGCATTAACAAAAAATAATATATTCAAGTCACAATTCTGATTAAAAGCTCTCTTTAAATAGTATACATTTAAGAAATATACAAGGTTAATAATCACAATAGCAAAGTAAGCAGATTCATCTCTTAAAACTCAAAGTACAAACACATGCTCTGAAAATCAATGCTGAATGACAAACAGTAATTGTGCAAGATAAACTAGTTGACTTAAATAAATTCTACATAACTCTCACAAACATCCCCTCATAGAATACACAAGTTCATAAGATTCAAGAAATCAAAATTCTATAGAACCTCTCACTTCCAAGTTAATTTCCTAAAAAAAATCATTATCATATACATAATCATTACACAAAAATCAATAGTATTCCAATATACCAATTATGAAAAGAAATTAGGAGAAAAGTTTCAAATGCCATAGTGATTAGAAGCAGAACTTTCAAACTACCAATATGTAAGCCTAAGCAATAATTAGATATGCCAAAACATCAACTCTTTAACTTTAAAATGATATTCACCAATAATAAACTCATCAAGAAAGTAGCTTCAGGAAAAAAAAAAAAAAAAGAATCTTAAATACTTAGGAATCAACCTTAATCAAACAGGTGAAAGATCTCTCTAATGAAAATTACAGAATTCTGAAAAAATTGAAAGTGACATTAGAAAATTGGAAAGGCATCCCTTGTTCATAAACTGGCAGATTACAATACTATCAATATGATTAAAATGCCCACGTTGACAAAAGCGATATACAGATTTAATGCAATCACTATTAAAATATGAACAATATTCTTCATCAAACTAGAAAAAAAGTTACTAAAATTTGTATGGAATCAGACAAGATCCAGAATAGCCAAAGCAATCTTGGGCTAAAAAACAGCAAAGTTGGAGGCATAACAACAAAAGGTTCTAAGTTATTACTACAAAGTTATTGCAACAAAAACAAGTGGCTCAAGAACAGACACATAGACCAATGGAACAGAACAGAAGACACAGAAACAAACTTATATGCATATAATGATCTGATTTTTTGACAAAAAACATGTTGAATAAAAGACAGTCTCTTTAACAAAGTGCCGGGAAATCTGGGTATCTATTTGCAAAACACTGAAACTGCATCCCGCTCACCTTGTACTAACGTCGAACAGAAACTTTGCAATTGCTAAACTACAACACAGAGGAAACACCTAAAGTGACAAGAACAGTCAAAGACTTCCTAAATAAAACTCAAGAGCACAGAAAATATCATTAAAAAGTTTCTGCACAGCAAAGGAGACAACCCAGTGAAAAGACAACCTATAGAATAGGTGAACATTTTTATTTCTCTTCTATTAGAAGGCAAATACCTAAAATATTTAAAGTAACTAAAAATAATTAAGCCTCAAAAAACAAATGACTCAGGGCGGCGACCTGGCGCGGCGGTCTCGGCGCCGGGCTGTGGAGCGCGAGGTCGGCGGTTCGCACCCCCGTCCCGACTCTTTCTCTTTGGGCTGGTGAGATGGCTCAGTGGTCTAAAGCACCTACTTAGAACAAGCTTAGCAAAGCACAGGGACCGCAGTTCAATCCCCCAGCACCACATACCAGCCAGCCCCGCCCCCTGGTGGGCTGAGCT